GTTTCATAAAACGGCAGAATCTTTCAGCTCGTCGTTTCAGAATCATTCAGCCGTAATGAATAATGCGTAATATCATGTTACTTGGGAGACACAATGTTGCTACATCTACAGGAAACCTCCACTCACGAGATTTCGATACACGCGACATGTTATATCGAATATGTCGAACGCACAGCAATTTCTTCACTTTGAATTCGTACTCGTGAGTGAGTACTGAACATACTCGTGAGGACAAATTATATTTGTGCGGAACTATATATAAAACGTCAGTTAATTGTAAACTCGTTGAACGCCAGTCGACGCTCTTGTTGGAGCATCGACGAGAAACAATTTGATATCAAAGAGCAACTAATGAAACATTATATAAAAGCCTTTAAGTAAATTCTTAGAATGTTCATGACGATTAATCGCTGGAAACCTGTGTAAAAGGGTTCCTTAGTAAAGTAAAATTGTCTCGTAATATTTCATACAAAAATAAATCTTTAATATCCAGGCACGCAAGATATAATATATTTAATGTACGAAAAACATAAAAAGTTATACATCTTTAATTTGGTTTCAAAACATATAGGTTTCTATCTTTAGAGATGCTGATTAACATTCAGCGATTAACCGACGGTTTGCATACTGTCATACATGAACACAGTTTGACCACACGAGTCTCTTCAATATATATAATCCAGTGAAAATGCAAATCGGCCTGTAAAATTAAACGTTAGGAAGGCATATAAACTGCCTTCAAATTTGTATTATTCTGTCGGGTCATTTTTCAATTATTTTCAGTTGCGTTGATTATATCCACTCTCCGGTAAGTTTCGTAAAATATTGCGTGCGAAATTTGAAATCTCCCTGTAATAATGGCAGGTAAACGTGTGCACGACACACGCGGTGTTGAAAAAAAAAAATTGCCATCGCGCGAAATCATATCATGACTTGAGCGCGGTCGCGAATGTACAGCGCTATTCAAACGCATTAAAGGATATTTGACCGAATCGTGATTGGAGTGTGAATGGAATATGACCATCCGTCATAACGTGAATCGAGCGCGCGCCTTTATTGCGTACAGGAATATACATCGATTTGCGCGCGGTCGCTAATGTGTACGTTTGTATGAAAATCTATTAGCTGCAGATAACTAATAAATTAATTGTAGCCGCAAATAATTAATAAATAATTCAACGATCGATTCGCAAAAAACATACTTTAATAATGCATTAACGCCAAAGCTTTTCGGTAAACTTACGAGATGTTTGTCAACAATTTGTAAACGCGAACCGTTTCTTCCCTATGTTCATCGATAATCGCACGACAATAATAATAAATATCACACATTTTAGCGCCCGCCGCTCAAGCGATTCCTATTCCGAATTACCGGAAAGCTGAAACCGCGCGCGAAATGCCAAACGTCAAACGTCTCCGCGACTAAGGAAACCAAGGGGAGTACGCTGCTTTCAATTCGGTCACATCGTCCGCGGTTTGTCGCGTTTTCGCGCAAAAACGACATCGCGCGCGCGCATGCTGAATCTTCGGCAAGATGTTTTCACGGACACGTAAACAATCCCCGTTCCGCCCATTCCGGCGGCGCTCGAACGGCAAAACGACGGTAGCTTCGGCAGCTCGACTCGTACGCTCGAGCTTCGAGCGCTTGGGTCGCCGTTTGCGGCTTTTCCTGCGGATCCCGCGAGCGCGGTCGCTTTCTCGCCGGGTGCTTTCGCGAGCCGAGGTGTGGCCATCGCGTGGCGTGCGCGCCGCTCATTTGCGGGTCCGGCCGACTTTGAATGCCGCCGTTAGCGCTTTGCCTCTTTGCGTTTTTATTATGTTACATCTTGTTTATGCCCGCGCGTTAATTATCTCCAACCGGGAGAAAGAGATGGTTTTTGATACCTTCTATCGGATACCTTACATCTTTTTTCTCTTCTGTGTTTCTCTACTCTGTTACTCTGTCAGACCAGTTGTTTTAAATGGGGAATTAAATAACATTGCATTAATTAGCTCGATGAATGAGATGAGGGATTCGCCAGGGAATTGAAGCGGAAGGTGCGACGTTAGACGTGATTGTCGGAGCAAAGAGACATCATCGGCTGCGATTGTAGTGGTGTCTGGTATAAAAGATATCTCGATATACATTGAGCTAGTTGGAACGTAGCAGATGCATATCGAGACATTAAAAGATGTTGAAGAAATAATCGAGGCGATCAAAAGTAGCCAACACGATCATCTCAAATGGTACGCAATGACCACGAACGACGCTATTATCATTTCACGACGGATACGGCATGAGCATGGGGGGGGGAGAGAGAGAGAGAGAGAGAGAGAGAGAGAGAGAGAGAGAGGTCGAGGAAGCGTCTTCGAATCGATAAACCTGACGCATCGCCCTGACGCTGGGGAAGGAAGCGGCGAAAGGGAGGTGGACGATCGCGTATCGCGGCCCGAATCGCCCGTGGTCCGCTCTTAATTTGCGTCGCCCTGGCGCGTATTTAAGCTTCGCGCAAGCACTCTCCATTCTACACTAGGCGAGCGTGTCCAATACGCGCGCATCTTCTGGCGCGCTACGTGCTTAGCATACGTGCACACGCGAATGCACCGCGCTGATACACCGACGCGCATAATGCGCGTAGGTACATAACGAGAAGGGACAAAGGCGGCGAGAGGGAGAGAGAGGGAGAGAGAGAGAGAGGGAGAGAGAGAGAGAGAGGGAGAGAGAGAGAGAGAGAGAGAGAGAGAGAGAGAGAGAGAGAGAGAGAGAGGAAGAGAGAGAGAGAGAGAGAGAGAGAGAGAGAGAGAGAGAGAGAGAGAGAGAGAGAGAGAGAGAGGGAGAAAAGCCGAATGAGAGATGAAACCGAGAGAGAGAGAGAGAGAGGGGGGGAGGGGGAGGAGAGAGATGAGGAGAGCCAGTAGATTAGGTGGGTATATCGTGCGGTTGTGGACGAGGTTGAGGACGAGTTGGTATAGGATATATAGGTACAGCAACGGCGGCTACCATCGCGCGCCACGGTAGGAAGAGTCGAGCTAGAAGGGCGGGATAGAGAGGGGTCGACGGAAAGGGGGGCCGGAGGGGGTAGGCTATAAAGGCTAATTGGTTAAAAGCTCACCACTGGCTGCAGGCTTAAATCAAGATCTTGGAGTGTTATAATGGATAAGTAACACGGCGTGGCACGGCCACCGCCACCGGGTTGTGTGTTACCCCCACACACAAGCCGGCATCCCGCTTCTCCCCTTTCGAACGGGCCGTCCACCCTTCGTCGCGCGCTCCCCCGCCGTTCCCTCGATCGTCGCCTCGCCGGTATAACCACCCCGTCTACCCGTCGCAGCGCGTTCCGCGGGAACGTCGAGGGCGAGTATCTTTCGAGTTAAGGACGGCGCGACCGACGCGATTGGTCCGCGGCGAGGGTTACCCCGACGGGTAGTCGTGTGCGGCGCGAGTCATCGATCGCGACTCCGTCCTATGAGAAGTCCGCAGAGCCAACCCCTGGCAAGCCATAGCCCCGCCCTGCCACCTACCTACCCCGACCGCGCCGACCGACACCCCTTCTGGCAACTTGCAGCTTAGCCGTCCTCCGCACGCTCGTTTCACCCCCTCTATCTCTTCTACCCTCCCTCTCCTCCGAAACAGGGAGCCACGCTCCGCGCGCGCCAGCGCGTTCGCCCTTCCGTCTCCCTCTGACACCCTCTAATTTATCCGTTCGCCCCGTTCTAGCGAGCGTCGGGCCCCGCGCCCTCGTCTCGCTCGCACCGTCACCCCTTCTCCCTCCCTGTAGCCTCCTCGCAGTCTCTAGCTATCGCGCGGCGCGCAATAACTACCCCGTGACTCTCGAAGCGTGACTCTGAAGCGCTCTCTCTCTCTCTCTCTCTCTCTCTCTCTCTCTCTCTCTCTCTCTCCCTCCCTCCTCTCCCTCTCTCTTTCTCTCTGTCTTACTTCCCGCTGCCGACGACGTCGCTCGTCTCCCTCCAGCCCCATCGTCGTGCTCCGTCCCCCTTCGTAGTGTGTTCTGCCAGCCTATCTATCCATCTACCTACCTACCTACCTACCTACCAAAACCTACCCTCTCGCGCCGTACGAGGCGCGCGCGAACGAGAGTGTGTGCGAGCGAACCTCGCCTCGTCCGTGTGACCTGCGGTTTCTCCGGCGTTTTCCTACCCTTAGTAGTGCGAGTACAGTGCCCATCCGCCGCGGCTCGTCACTCGCTCGGCGCGAAGCGCATCGCGGCACGAGGGTGTGCTGCCGCCGCTGCTCTCCTTCTGGCCCGAGCGAGCGAGCGAGCAAGCGAGCGAACAAACGGAGGAACAAACAAACGGACGCTGTCTGCGCGCCGACGCTCTAGCCGACACGCGCGAGTCGAAATTCCGGCGCGACGGGACGCGAGGCGTCGCGGCGCGAGCGCGTCGCAGCGTTACGCGGACGTCGGCCGTCGCTCGCACTCGCGGCGAGAACATCTTTCTTACATGCGAACCGAATGATGTTGCACGTCTGAGCTGTCCGCGGACAGTAGTCAGTGCTTGTCGGCGGCTCGTCGCGCGCCCGTCGCGTTTCTCAGCGTGCCACCGGATGGAGAACGACACGCGGCGATGATGACTACTCCGTCACGATGACGACGGGCTTTCGGCACGAGGAAGCAGCGGGTTTCGCTTTGTGACGAGTGCTCGGCGATCAGTGGAAGTGACTCGGGGAAAGTGAGTCCGTACGGCGACGTAGCAGCGCAGCATCTCGGCTCGACGGCTAATACGCGCGAGAAAACGCTTTACGCGTCGCGGCCGGGAAGAGAAAAGAGAGCGAAAGGTGCGCGGGAGAGCGTTCTGTCTCTCCGAAACGAGAGGAGAAGTTACGTGTTCGCAAGTTGGGGCGGATAGGTAGCGGTGAAGAAAGATAGAGAAAGAGAAAGGAGAGAGAGAGAGAGAGGGGGGAGGGGGGGAGAGAGAGAGAGAGAGAGAGAGAGAGAGAGAGAGAGAGAGAGAGAGAGAGAGAGAGAGAGAGAGAAAGAGAGAAACAGAGAGAGGGAAGCGAAGACAGAGAGAGGGGGTGTGATAGGTGGCGGATGGACGATAGGGGGAGAGGGCGACTTCGCCAAGGGTGGGCCCTCCAAGTGTCTTGTCTCCTATCATCCTGTCGTCCAGGGTATCGCTTACGAATGTCGCGCGATCGAGCGATCCGTGTGCGATCCACGACGACGCGGGACGACGTCCTGGCGACGACGGGCGCGCATCCACGTCACTAACGACGAGCAGCGTCTCCGAGACGTCGCGGCCCGAACGCGCGTAACGTATTCCGCCGTTTCTGCTGATATGCGATCGTGCAAGGAGGATTGCCAGCGGGTCGGGTCGCGCGAGCCGACGAATTCGGCTTAACTCTGTCGGCCTGCCGTCGGAGAGCACCGAGGGACGAGGGCGAGTCCAGCGAGGTAAATCGGCTGCTACAACGCGCGGCTACGAGCGAGAACGGGAGCCGCGGCTTCGCGCCGAGAGTCAGGTCGGGCTAGCTGGACTAGCGGCCAAGGAGCTGCCACGGGAGCAAGAGGTCAGCGCGATTGAGCGGCTTCGCGGCATGTCCGGAGAAACGGAGATCGAGGTGTCGGTGGTATCGGAGGAGGACCTGGAGCTGGAGGGCTCCAGGAGCAGCTCCACGCCGGCGGAGCTATTGCTGCAGGAGAAGAACGGCAAGTCCGGCTGCGGTCTGAGCAATCATCACCACTCGTTCAGCTTCGACGTCGGCAAGCCGGCGCTGAGGCCCGCCTGCAACCCCCAGTACACGTCCTTCAGTATCTCCAGTATCCTCGGCAGGCCGGAGTCGCCGCCGGTCGACTCCACGTCCACCGTGTCCGGCGAGAGGCAGTCGTCGGACGTCGACAGGACGTCGCCGTTGCCGCCGGCGAACTCGCAGACGTCGCAGAGGATCTTATCGTCCTGCGGCAGCCCCGGCAGGGTTTCGTCCTCCCCCACGTCCTTGAGGCTGTCCGGCGGTCAGCGCGGCGTATCTGCCGCCGGCGGTCACGTTACTGGAGGACTGGAGTCCAGAGCCAATTCCGCGGGTATCGGTATCGGATGTGCTACCAGTGCTACCAGTCCAGCCGCGACTTTCTCACCGCCCCAAGACGCCTCTGCCAATCCTCTGCTGGGCCACCAGGCATCGGCGGATCTCGCCATGCTGTCGAGGTATGTGTGTCCTTGGACTCTCGGTTGCGGAACTCGCGGCTTCCCATTCGACGGAATAACGCAGGGGACCGATGGTAAACGATAATGCTCGATAATCGAGCGCGCCCGTCACGCGAATTATGCTTCGACAGGGTGATTTTTCGCGAAATCGGTATTAACGGCGTGTCCTTGCGACATTGCGTCTCCGGGAGATTTGTGGAGATACAGAGAAAGAGAGAGATAGAGCATAGAGATAAACGAGAGCTCGCGGGCGATGAAGCGCCACAATCGCGAAAGTAGCTTGTGCGAAAAGGCTCTTAGCCGCCGAGGTTTCGTCATTCAATCGATACGTTCGGTTAAAGTGTCATCGTGTTGCCGCTTTATGTAACTGTCTGCGGAAAATGTCTTGTTTGAAAAACTGTCTGCGAGAAATCTGCCTTGTTACTTCACCGACGAGATTGAACGCGCATTTCGCCATTGCCGTGTTGTACTTGAGTTTTCAAAATTGTGTAATTTGTGACGTTCGCATCTGCAGTCGAAATCGTGCTAGTTCGAAACAAACTTAAGATTAATCAGAGAGCAAAGTTTCATTGTCTATTTGCATCGCAGACCCTACGATCGTGTATGATTGTCAATGAATTATAATTGGGAGACGGTTGACGTTATCTCGAAAATCATTACGCACCAAATAATCGGTCATTGTTCTTTGACTTTTACTTGTGTGTGAAGTGTCTTCAGCTGGAAGGAAATCCGCGGCTTCCGAGACACTCCGTACATGCGTATGACATAATCGCACGAGACAGCCTCTCGACGAGGAAACCGTGAAAGTGAAGCCGTGTTTCTAAATTCAGTCTTAAAAACGATTAGCGGCAGGAGCTTTGCGTCACTCTTTGCGAGCGATGTTTCATTTCCACGGAAAACAAGCTTTCTTTCGCAAACGGAGAAGCAAGGCGACAATGGAGACTTTGTAATAATACTTTTTGCTAACAGCACAGGAGAGAAAAATGAGGAAGAGAATGAAAAAGTAAGAGGGAGACGGAGAGAGAGAGAGAGAGAGAGAGAGAGAGAGAGAGAGAGAGAGAGAGAGAGAGAGAGAGAGAGAGAGAACATTTTGTCACAAACACGTGTATCGCGCGCATCGTTTACTCGTGCGTGCAACGTACGTTGCACAATACTGTTATATTAAACTCCAGTTGATGCGACGATGTGACCTTCGATTTTATTGGTTGATGGCGTCAAAATAACTGGCCGAAATCCGAACCTTGTACTGATCGGCGATCGCCATTCATTTCACCGTGTAGGACGATATTTCAGTCACCCGTGCAAAATTCGCAGGACATGCGTCGTTGTTGGTTTTTATTTATAATATAAGCGGCTCGCGCGCGAGAAATTTCTACAAAAGATAAAAAAATAATAAAAGAACATTAATACAAAGAATAAGACGGGAGAAAAGAGTGACTTTCTTCTTCTTCGACTCTCCCTCTGTTTAATTCAAATATTTAAGCGCCATCGTTTAACGGTTAATTCAGCGCTGTGGCCATTTAATATTAATGCAAAAGTGTCGGTAAATGGAGTTGCTAATACTTACTAATGATTAATTAATTCGCAACATCGTCGTTATTCATATTCGCCGCTCTCGTAATTGGCGGAATTGTTGAATAAATTAAGACCGCGCCCTCTCGGCAATTAGAGACACCGGATGCGTTAACGCGTCCTGTGATAAAAGTATCCGCGTTCGTGAAACTTTGACACCCGAGAGATGCGTAAACACCATCGCGACGGATTAATAACTGTCCCCCTTCGCCATCGTTGTTTGCATAATTTTACACGCATGCGTGCACAGTGCATCGCGTTTCGCGTTAACAATGTAGATTACACTAACTGCATAATGGACGCATGTTGACATTCATTCAGCACCCGTTTAATGAAAGTCGAAAAAGTTCTCATTTCCCTCCCCCTCTCCTCCCTCCTATTTTGTGATCAAAATGTCCTATCGGAAAAAAATTGTCACATAAGGATCTTGTCTTCGCCAAAGACACGATGGGAGGAACGGGCTAATATCTTAAGAATTTTAGAAACAGCGAGACGAAACCTTGTTGCCGGCTCGATCTCTCGTCGACTTTAACCTCGCTCCTCGTACTTTTTACCCGAATTTTTCACCCGGTTGATCCGAGACGCTGTGTATCGCGACACAAATATCCGCGCACGTCGACTTGGATTATGGCGGATGTGAGAAGGGACGTATCCCGGGGACAGTTTTCGCGGCGAGCGAAAATCGTAGGCGTGAGCGCGCACGGATCAAGATACGCGACATATTGGGGGTGGCGAAACGGTAAAGGGCAGTAACGACGACGGCGGAACGGAGCGACAACGAGCGGACGAACGAGCGAGCGGACGAACGAACGCGTGCGGTGAGGATTATATTATGTGGGAATGGACCGGCGAGGGGTCCGTAATGGGCCTATTAGGCTGTCTCATTTAATAACAACCGTAGCAACAACCACCCTCTTACATTACTTACGTTACTTAGGAGGTACCCCCGGTGGTATCGGATATATCTGCGAGGAACCCGAGCACGGCAGCGTGCCGCAAAGGGGCAGAAAGACTGGAGGGTTCGAGATGATTTTATCAGATTTACACCCCCTTCCGATTGACGGTCTCTCTCTCTCTCTCTCTGTCTCTCTCTGTCTCTCTCTCTCTCTCTCTCTCTCTCTCTCTCTCTCTCTCTGTCTCTCTCTCTCTCTCTCTCTCTCTGCCCCCTCACTCTCGCCGCCGGCACCCACGCTCTCTCGCCCTTTCTCCGACCCCGCCATGCTCGACTGCCTGGTGGCACAAGCTACGATTGCTTGTTTTCCAGCCGTTTACCGTTTGATTAAGTTCCACTCGTATGCATCATCAGGGGCACACGCATCTCGCTCGACGGGAAAAGCCTTGTCGAGAATGGGCCCCCGCGCCGCCGCCGCGCCGCCGCCGCGCCGCTTGGCTGCCGTGCCGCGCAAACGAAATCGCGACTGATAAATGAACTTTGATCAATGGATTCTTTCCCGTTCGCGCCGAAAGCGTCGAAAGCGCGTGCCGAGGAAACGCGATTTCGGTGCCCTCGGGGTTACAAGCATCGCCTTTGCGATCTGTGCGAGTACGCCTGGCGAATTATTTACAGATTCGCAGACGCGCATCTTTGAGCGGATTTATACATGCTGAGTCTATAAAAATTTCCGCGCGGCATGAATCTTTGTCAAAGATGAATGAGCTGCGCTCAGCAGATTTTCGTTAAAAATCCATGATGTGTAACTCGCGAAATTACCCTCCTCTGCCCGCTCCCCTCTCTTCGCCATGCCGATAACGAAAGAAGGCGCGTGCAAATCACGCGCAACTGCAACTTAACGTTAAACGCGCGGATATAACGTTACACGAATTTACATATAATTCACGACGCGATTCAAAAAACGCATCGCAAAGGGAAAGAGAGAAAAATAGAGAGACAGAGAGACAGAGAGACAGGGGGAAGGGAGGCATGTCTCGCTCGTAATAACCGCACTGGCGATACGTAAAATTACAAAATCGCATATATTCTATTCATATCCATTTACGCGTTTAAATACAATTCGACAAAAATGCACGAAGCCGGCGTAGAATTACGCAATGATCGCGCACCCAACCACGCGCACGCGTGTGTGCATGTGTCCCGAGCGTAATTCCGCAAGCACGCTAATTAACGTTACGAGCGGCTGCCGACGAAATTTGCTGTAATTTCTGTCGCACTGGCGAAACACGCGCGTCGGATACCGATAGGGCCCGCCGTCAACTGCTGCCGGAGGAAGGGAACAGCGACCAACGGGGAGAGAAACAATGGGGGGAGAAAGAGAGAGAGAGAGAGGGGGGAGTATGTAAAAAATCAATTAGGCATGGAGTGCATAATGGATGCGGATGAAACGCCGTACGCCGTATAGTCCAAGGTTAAGGAGCCTAAGATTCCCCGGAGAAACGGGCACCTATCCCGCGGCCCATTTAGCCGAGCGGCAGCCCTTACGTCTTCCGGGAGGAAGCGCGCAAGTTCTACAGCCGTATTTATTATTAAATCGCCGCTCTACGCGCCAGTCTGAGATTCTCCTCTCGCTCGCCCAAGGTCGGCCAAAGGAGTTCGCGCCACGCGATCTCTCTCGCTCTTTCTCTCTACAGCGCATCCCCATCCCTATACTTGACTTGATCAAATAATAATATTTCTCCGCAGGAATATAAGTACGCACGCGCTCTCAGGGATTTACGCGCGAGAGATACGGCCCCCGGTATATATGCGCGCTTTATGAAATCGTAACAATCGCATCCGAGAACCACCTTTTCTTCCTTCCCCTTCTCCTCCTCCTCCTTCTTCTTCTTCTTCTTCTTCTTCACAGCGAGAGCAGCCTTAAGGTATGACCTAGCCACGAGAAACGCTCCCCTTTGCTGCTTGACACACATATACGCGGTGTACCGAATCATTGTAAATCTCGTTACATGCAGCGTGACTTTGACTTAAAATTGGTCGAAGAAGCTGTCGTTAAAATTGACATCTGTTTCCCGAAGTGAAAACGTGAAAGGAGAGAGAGAGAGAGAGAGAGAGAGAGAGAGGGAGAGAGGGAGAGAGAGAGAGAGGAGAGGGTGGAAGTGGTTCTCGGTATTTATCTGAAAAATGAATACGCTCGTGCGTATTTAGAAATTGACGACAACGACGACGACAACGACGACATGTCCATTTTGTATGTATGTACGTACTCCCGAATTCCCTTCAAATCTGCTCGCGCGGTTCACAACAAGAGCGCGCACATCGATATCTAGGCGACGGGGGAATCGCGAAAATATTTTTTGCTCGTCGCTCGATTTTGCGGGAGCTTATATTCAAAAATGTTACCGCGGGCGCGTTACGACCGCGAGCGAAAGGATCCGTCTGATAATCCGCGACAGAGACTGCCTCGTTAATTACAGCGCTGATGAATGATTCGTTAATTAGGGTGGGATCGCGCTACAAGTTTCAAAGGAAGATACGATAAAGCCTATTGTGTATGATCGCCTATTCGCGAGCGATATGGATGTTTCGACGTCGGGAACAAATGTGGGATGAGAGCGACGGCGGCGGCGGCGGCGGCGGCGGCCGTATATGGACCGCGGATCGTAATTGCGGCGAGATACAATCCCCTTCGCGTTTCATTCGACGTAGCTTCGTCTACGAGGTGATCTCGCGACTAACACCGTTACAAAAAAATTGCACGAGGACGCGCACCCAACGCAAAGAATCGCGGTATTCTCGCGTCGCGTCGTTTTACCCGTTGCGACGGATCTTTGTGTGTGTGTGTGTGTGTGTGTGTGTGTGTGTGTGCGCGCGTGTGTGTGTGAGAGAGGGAGAGAATCTAGCCATTTTAGAAAAGGCTGCAAACGTGCTTTTTACATTTTCTCTGTCATATAAAAATATCAATATCGAGACACATATACATATAACCCTAAAAGTTTCTAATTTATTTCGAGTTTCAAATGCAAATTTTTTAAATCTCAACATGGAATATACAAGGTAAAGCATTTTATGTTGAATGTTTACGTATATTTGCATTTAAAGTCCCAAATAAGAAAATCCAAAATTAAATACGTGGCATTGGTATTTTGATTTTACGCGTTAGAAAGAAATCATGTCGAACGCGTGGACGCAAAAATAAATTCTCTGTTTCGTCTATTGCGAGTCCGTAATGCAATACGAAGCCAACTAGCGGATTTGGCCGAACGCTTTGAAAGCCAATAAATCATTGTTGAGTCATCCCGACGACGCTTCATAAGCCGCTGTGCAACGATAGTTCTTATTGTATTTCACGCCGACGAAATAGCGACGAGCGATCGCGCGTGGATGGAAAATTAATTCGATTGAAAATCAAGAGAACACGACAGGAAAGACTCTGCCTATTTTGAAGATTTAACGTCTTCAAAAAAAAATGAGAAAGCGAAAAAAATCCCTGAGAAATATAATTTCCAGATTCACCGTCTGTCTTCTTCTTAGTCCTTCGCGTTAATATAACGTTAATTTATTTTCCGTCGTCTCCACGCCGCGTTTAATTTCTTTTCTCTATCCTTCTCCCCCATGTCTCTCTTTTTAAAGCACAGCATGGCGATCGCATGTTGAGCATGCAGATTGCAAACCGCTTCGGTCGCACTTTCGCTAGCGAACGCGATCGACTTCTCTTTCTTCGCTACGCTTCTAACTACCCTCGGTGTAACGAAACACGACGAAACGTATCGTATTTCGAGCGATCGTTAACGGCATAAAGAGTTTATATTTGAGAATGGCACTTACTCACTGTGTGTGAGCGCAAGAGGTAGAATAATAATCAATACGCAAGCGGTGTGTAACGCGTTATTGAAGACACGGAGGGAAAGAGTTTAACGGACGTATCCGATGAGGGCAAACTCGCGCACGCTCGTGTTGCCGAGGGAAAGCAGCGTGTACTGGTAAATTAATAAAATAAGTGCCAACGAAATCGCGTTCCCCGAATTTCGGACTTTCTCCTAATTTCGCGCGCGAGAAGCTGGAAGCGCTATGAGAAAAGCACTCGCTTTAAAAATACATCATTACAAGGTCGACGACAGAGTCGGGTAAAACGAAGGAATCTCGCGCGATCAGCACCGGAAAATTGAACGCGAACGCGTGGGTACGAACGGTAATACACTCGGGAGACCGAAAGGCGAGAGAGGAGAGAAATAAAATTGAGAGCGAGGCGGTCGCGCGGAGTCAAGTGCATGCTCGATGACCTAGATCGAGAGGGCCCATTAGAGAGGAGGTATCGCTGAAGAGTCCTTGAGCACCTACGGGGAGCGAACTCGTAAACCGACCGGGATATGCCGGTCTGGAGTGCTCGTCTAAGACGTAAGTCCCGCGGAATTAGGCAGTAAAAGGTGGAGAGGATCTCTCTCTCTCCCTCTCTCTCTCTCTCTCTCTCTCTGTCCGAGAGAGAGCCGAGTGTTTGGTGTTTATACCTGCTTCTCAGGAAGGGTCCTCCGATGCTTACAAACAGGCGGTTGTCAGATTTCCTTTATCTTTTCCGGAGCATTTGTGTGCCCCGGGCCGCGTCTTTCTCTCTTACTCTCTCCTCTCTCCCCGCGCGAAGCCTTCTCGAGAACCTCGATATCTCTCTCTCCTCGTCTCTCGATGCTGAGAGAATCGAGGGTTAAGAAAGCGGCCGGCCGATGAGATCGCGTGTCACCGAGAAATTCTCTTAGGGAGAGGGTCTCTCTTAATTCCTCCTCCGTGTTGAACTCGACAATCCCGTCGCCGTCATCTTTACTCTTGTTGTTGTTATTTTTGTCACGGTCTTGTCAACAATGCACTCGATGCGACCTTCGGAGGTGTTAAACGGCCGATCTGTGAGAAACCGTCGACGAAGCTTCGAGTCGCAATAGCGTAAACAATGAATTTTGTTGATTCTTCTCGACATGCGAGAGGAGATGGTATTGTTAAAAGAAAAATTAATATTCGGTGCGCGTCTTTCGACATATTCGTTACCGATTCTCACGAGATATCGACATCACATATATTTGAAAGCTATAATTTTCGTATTCTATGTTCACATAAATCAAAAGTCCGCTATTATGTGGAAGAAAATATAGGTGGTTTCTGACGGACGATTTCTCGATATAAACAATGACATCGAACGTGTTAAAATCGCTTCACGTAATAATCCGAAATGATTGGCGGAAATATCGAAAACTTATACGGGACAACGCTACCGCGATTTGCAAAGAATCTCAATCACGATGAGTAAGGAAGAGAATGAGAAATTCGAGGGGCAAGTTTAACCGCGAACGGCCATGATTAAATCGGCACGGAACGTCAGGAAATCCGCTCGAATATTAAAGTGTACGATATTATAAAATGCGGCTTATCCGTTATCGCGAGACCAATTGTCATCAAATGGACACAAAGTGTTCACCATGCCCGCACATAGCAGGCAAAGTCGAATAAGCACGAGCGCGTATCGAAACGAGATCAGATCGCCGCTCGTCGCAGACGGACTGCCGGGGAAGCGAGGAAGGAACACGGGGAAGTGCTAGGGCTTCCGAAGCCTCCTCGGCCCGCGTGCCTGTTCGCCGATATCGGCATCGGTCGACCGGCTCCTGCCCGCCTGCCTATCCACCTACATTTCTATTCGACTCGCCGCAAATCGGCACTCTTGCGTTTAGCACCCGCGCGCAGCTGCGACAACCGTACTCAACCGTGATCGGAAGTAACGATCGGGAAAAAGAGGAGCGTTCGTTAGGCGGGTCGAAAGAACGGTCGAAAGAGAAGCGGAGGACAAGGGAAGCCCGACGATGGAATCAATGATAAATGTGGTCCAAAGATCCTGACCGCCTAAGGGACTGGATCGCAAAATAATTTCGCGAGCTGTGCACGGAGAAAATGTTATAGCCTTTTTTCATATAAATTCTCCTCGGTCTTTTACTATGTTTTCTAGTAGCGCAGGAATAAACCGCCAGTAGTATATATTTTATGAAGAAAAATAGTAATCTCTTTCATAAACATGTAACATTTTTTAACAATAGACTTCACTTTCTGATAATATAAATGGCGCGTATGAAACGGAAGGAAGATAATAAATTACCGGAAATCGGAATATCGATGTGCTCCTCGGCTACAAAATTCTACAGCAATTGGCACTGTAAAATCCTCCCCGTGTTGAGTAACGCGCGAATCGCGACGCGGATCGTTGTGATCGTTGTCAACGTGGACCGTCTGTTATCTGAAACTTTTAACGGCGGGAGCTGCTTCTCTGCACTCGAAATCACAGCCACGATTAACATTAACTGGGTCGATTTAACCGGAGCCTCTGTGCTCTGAACGATATTTTCAAAGCCCTAATAGCTCTAAATCCGCCGCTGGGAGGGCACCCGGCGCAGGTATCGCCTTCGGTCAACATGTCCGATCTTCGAGTACACCTCTCACGCTAAGCGGATTTTTGCTCTTAATAACCGGTCGTGCGTTTTCATCCGTAACACGTCCGGCCGTTGTTGCGGCGCAAACACCGTTTCCGAATATCCCCGGGACGGTGGGGAAACACGCTTTTCTTCACTCTTTCAGCCGGCCGAGTAAATCCGAGTCGTAATGGTCGCGCCGCGTTACGAGCGACGGCACTTATCCCGAACGTAACGATCGCGCATGGTCGAATTACTCGCGCCGCAGACCGGCTTTATCCCGTCGCATTTATAGAGCTCGGCTATATACGTAACTCTCCCTCCTTCTTTCTCTCTTTCTCTCTCTCTTCGCAAAAGAAAGAAAAAAAAACTAGAAACGTATCCGGCGCTCGTGGCGTCCGGTTTGTTTGTTTTGAGCGTGATCATTTCGCGAGACGATGGTGATGAAGCTCGAAGGTCGCAAACTAGTACCAATCGACCCTTCTACATTTAACAAGACACGCCCACGCGCGTATCTCATATCATTAAAATATAATTTCATTGCACAACATGAAATGCACAATTGCGCGTATCGAATCAAACGCGACGCGTTAAGAGTCTCCAATCGATGTGCTCGCGCAATTACATAAAAATCAACGGCAAGATTGCGCGGGATTATCATCCGTCGCATCCGACCACAGAGAGCTTCGCAATCCCCGTTTAATTGCACGCCCGAAATCCAATCAGCGCTACATGCGAAGCAGCCTGCATTGTCTAAATCACCTAACACATTACTCATCGTCTTGTCCGTAGATTGATAGCCAGCCGATACCCGGTCGGCATCGGCGGCCTGTTCTACCCGTCGACGCTGCAGCACCTCCACCAACAGCACCAACAACATCAGCACCATTCGCGGCTGGCCGCGGCGGCGTCGTCCGCCCTGAGCAACGCGGTGCAGGTCGCCGGCCAATCGGCGGACATCGTCGACGCCGACGGCATCCGCGGCGTCCTACTCGGCGGTGCCGGCTGGCCGTTTCCATGGAGGCCGACGCACAGCCTGCAGACCCTCGAGCATCCCTCACCGAGCGACGTGGTCGGCACCCTCAGCCGCGTCAGTCCCGCGTCCGCGTCTTTCCCGCAGAGAGGTGAGTTCGATTCCTCTTCCTCCTCCATCACTATACCCTCCCTCACCCCGCCGCGCGCTGGCCGTGTTGCCACACAGAGCAGATCGAGAGACGGCTTATTTAGGATAATCCGAGGGAAAACGCCGCTCGGAGGAAAATTCCGCCGCGGTCGTCGACGTTGTTTCGCAACGACGGCTCGGACGAAGTTAACGCAACGCGCACAACGTTTTCTTTTCGAATTCGATCGAGCGGAATTCGATCGGAGGCGCATGAAACCCCTTTTGTGTGTGCGTTCTCCTTCCCCCGCACCCGTCGATATTTTCGATATAAAGCGACGTGATTTAACGTGCTCGAACTGTTCCGCCTCGATCGATGCTCGAACGATCGAGGGATGGAGGGTCGCACTGGACTTACACAGAGATCGCGAGAGACATGCGATAGTGCAAGAGAGAAAGAAAGAAGAGAAAGAAAGAGGGGGTGAGGGGGAAAGAGAAACAAGGGATAACGCGCGCGCGCGCGAGAGAGAGAGAGAGAGAGAGAGAGAGAGAGAGTCCTACAGACACGTCCTCTTACCGATATATCGTCCGCGTATATCTATGTGTACACCTTCGCGTATACAAGCGCGCGTAAGGCTTCCACCACGGCTTCCACCACGACAAACCAACGTCGATCGCCTTACCCGCCGATCGTTTTGCTCCTGCCACCTTGCCTAAGCACTTAGGTAGTTACTATCCGCACCTCTACGAACACATATACGACCGCTCACCCTCCCCCCGACTTGACGACGCGACTCGCGTCACGACGCTGTGAAACTCTTTGACGGTGTAACGACGGTAATAATTGGTATCGGGTGTTGCGCGTTGCGAGATGCAACGCGGATCGAAGATACCTAAAGTTTTCTACCCGACGCACGGCCCACAACACATCGGGAAGATGATCGAAACAGAAAAGAAAAATGGGTAACAACATGCTTGCGACAAGGCGACAAGGGGAGATCGCTCGCCGATTTTCACGATTCTCGTTCTCCGCGAGAACGGGAGAGAAATTGGGAGAGAGAGAGAGAGAGAGGGAGGGAGAGAGAGAGGGAGAGAGAGAGACAGAGAGAGACAGAGAGAGAGAGAGAGAGAGAGAGAGAGAGAGAGAGAGAGAGAGAGAGAGAGAGAGAGAGACACAGAGAGAGAGAGAGAGAGAGACAGAGAGAGAGAGACACAGAGAGAGAGAGAGAGAGACAGAGAGAGAGAGAGAGACAGAGAGAGAGAGAGAGAGAGAAAGAGAGAGAGAGAGAGGCGTGTATTTCTAGAAATAAATTTTGCTCAATTATATTTCCAAGCGCAAATATCAAATTATTGCGAGTGTAAAAAAGGTTTGTATTTAGTTTCATTTTTCAGCCAGCTTTTTGCCCGCGCGCTACACAACGATCATTTGTGGAGGAAAGATTAAACATCCCGTATTTCGCCGGCTGAAAATAATAAGTACGAGCAAGAAAATATTTGTAGAGAGGAGGCGAGGCAAATTGTTGCGCGTTTTATCGTTTCGTCTCTCATGCTATCGGCCGCTTGTGCTACTAGAAAGAGACATGAGCGATGCCAGTATAGCGGTATTTTGCGCAAATATGCATACGCCGCAAATAACGTCATCGACGTGATGCATTTGCATTCACATGGAGATTCAATCCGCAGCAATTATGTCCAAATGGATTAATAGAATAATAATTAGCGTTCTATTAATTGATTAAATATGCAATATGGATAGAAATATATAATGGGGCGATTTACCGGAGCGCGTGAGAGAATTTGTAAATTCAAAGCGCTCTCGCCGGACTGATTGACGTAGGCGGATCACGTTTAAAAAGAGAACCGATTAACACACGCATGCGCTCTCCCTCTCGCGCGTATGCACACCTCTTTTCGCTCATTAACTATTCGATTATATCGATAAATATAAAAGTTGTCCCGCGTACGTGTATGTACTCCACCACCAACGTTACAAATATCATTATCTATTCATCGTGTAACGTCGCGAGACCGCCGTTTTCGTCTTTCCCCGCTCTCCTGTTCCCCTGCCCGGCACTTATCCATCGAATTTCCCCCCATGTTTCATCGAGATGACAATGCGAGAAGACGACTACACGAGCGTGCATCCCCTTCCTTCTGTGCAGACGAGCTCGACGACGACAACGCCGACGATCGGCTGCACCGGACGAGAAGCCCGTCGAGCGGTGACGAAGCGCACGACGACCTAGGCGACGGAGACGACTGCGCGGACGGCGACGGCGAAGGCGAATCGACCTCGACAAGTCTCCACGGCACTTCGGTGAGCGGCGGAGGTGGCGGCGGCGGCGGCGGCGGTGGCGGTGGAGGTGGTGGAGGCGGCGGCGGAGGCGGAGGCGGTACAGGCAACGGCAACGGTAACAGCGGCCAAAACAACGTACAGGTCGGCGTAGATGGTCGCGAGTCGAACAGCATAAAGCGCAAAAAAAAGACGAGAACGGTGTTCTCGAGGTCGCAGGTGTTCCAGCTGGAGAGCACGTTCGACATGAAACGTTACCTCTCGTCGTCCGAGCGAGCCGGGCTCGCCGCCTCGCTCAGGCTCACCGAGACCCAGGTGAAGATCTGGTTCCAGAATCGGCGAAACAAGTGGAAACGCCAGCTCGCCGCCGAGTTGGAGGCGGCGAACATGGCGCACGCGACTCAGAGGCTGGTCAGGGTGCCAATACTGTACCACGAGGCGTCGGCGGGCCCCGGCGCGTCCGCCGGTGGCGTCACGTCAGTCTCGGTGACGGCGCCGATACCACCGCCGCCGCCGACGGTCCCGTCGTCGGTCGCGACTTCTGGCCTCTCGCATTCGGCGGTCGGAGTCGGCGTCGGGGTGGGCGTCGGCGTCGGCGTCGGCGTCGGCACCTCGTGCACGCCCACCACGGCGCAGCCGATCTTCTATTCCCATCATCATCAACACCACCATCACCACCCGGCGGCCCATGTGCAGGCGCACAGTCTCTTGTCCCACCAGGTGCACCCGCAACCGCCACCTCCGCCGCCGCCGCCGCCCAACGGCCAACCACCGCGGACGTCCTCGCAATAACACCGTCCGACGACTTACGAGGGTAGCGTGCGGCTGCAGGGGACCGCTGCGAACATGACGGACAAGATGATCCCCGTGAACGCAACGATGATCCCCGCACCTCGGCTGGACCGCGCCGTTATCAGGCTGATCGACGTCGACGAGTAACGCCGATGGAAAGACGGACGGACGGACGGACGGACGGACGGACGGACGGACGGACGGACGGACGGACGGACGGACGGACAGACGGACGGACGTACGCACGCACGCTCGCACGCAACGCACGACACGGGCGTCTGATCGCGTCCTGCGACACCCCCGAAACCGATATCCCGCGACGGGTTACCATGGACGTTAGCGCGGCTCTCTCCTCGGCTACGAGTTGGGTTCTAATGGTCGCCCTTGAACACGCGGACCGGCGTTGGGGATGAATGTGAGTACAAGCGACAAATGTGGAGTTTTAATTCCACCTCGTGTGTGAACTGTTTTGGATTATACGTCGACGTGATGCGACATCGAAATTGCGCTTTCACTCGAGGTGGAGGATGTTAAACTTTGTGCTGGCACATTGGCAATTTAGTCGGAAGATTTGGTCGGGATTTTAAGAGCGGCGAGCACTCTTTCTCTCTCCCGCTTACTCCCGTTAATACGTAGATTGGTCGAAAATTGATCGAAATTCCATAAATTGAAACTCTACGTTTTCCAAATGCTAACTTGTACTCATATTTGTGCGTGATATTCATTACTCAGGAAGAGGCAAATTATTCGATAAATTATTCCACAAATGAGATTCCACTATTTCTGATGAAAGAAAGTTAATTTATCGAAGTGTCTTTCGATAAGAGAAATTTGAAAGCAAGAAGATGCAATCATTCGCAAATTAGTCGATTGAATCTGTTTCTGATAAGAGAAATTGAATTTATCGAAATCTGTCTCGATAAAAGGAAATTCTCCGCTTTTCCGATAGAAAAGATCTTCATTGGCAATCGCGTATATTCGTTGATTCATTTTGATCAATTTAATTGCGATAAATAGTTTTCAATTTTTTCGAAAAAGGAGACATTCCGCGACTTGTAACCGATGCGAAATCACGCAAGGAATTGAACTGTGATTCGAGATTCGTGATTTCGCGTCCCTTCCTTCCAGACAGGAGGAGCGCGAAAGTTGGCGCGATCTCATATGGTTTCTTTTGCGGTCTGTCGCCGATGTAACAATAGAGCGTGTCGTACGTCGTCACTCGCTTTCGTGCTGTTTTAGCGCGCGAGATCTCACGGTCCCACGATCGATGGACGCGAATCAGACTCTCTATTTTGCGCTCGACTCCCCGATACTTGACCTCTGTAAATAGAACACTAATAGAGGTAGGCGACTTTTCCGATATGCGTGAATTCCGAGGAGAGAAACAATTCGCGCGGATGCGAAAAACGGAATTTTTCGAGCCGTCCCGCGTGCGATTGTGCGACGCCTGGTATTTTAATCGTTCGTCGGTCGTATCCGTTCCTAATCGTATCGTTTCTCCGTGTACATATACTTTCTTTTTGCGCAGAAATTTAATTCGCGCGTGCAATTCGGCGAGCGCCGAGGGAGAGACGTTGCGCGCGAGCCCATGACCGGAAGCTCCGTTAATGTAATCCGGGGATTAAAATTTCGGTATGATCTTAGCGAGTCCAATTTTCGAGATACAGAAAAATGAAAAAGAAACCCTACCATCGAGGAGTATCGCCGTACGAGAAAACTCGCGCGCGTGTTCCTACAGTTTGTGCAAGTGTAGAAATCGTTTACGTGTATTTACAGAAATTGAACTCGCTGATATTATGCCGGTTTCAATGCCTGATGTAATTCGGGATTTGCTGTGGTTGTAAGATTCAACACACACATGAAAACACATACACATACATACACATACGCGCGCGCGCGCGCGCGTGTACACACACGTTAAGACACAGGCAGGGTTCCTACGATATATTCCACCTGTTGTGATAAGTATCTAAACGAATAATTTTATTAAACAGAACGGTAGAGCTACGAAAAGTACCGCCTCTCACATTGTATATCACCTATCTATAGACGTCAATTAAGGAGAAGGTTCGCCGTACCGTGTTTTATACGGATATTTGTGATTCGCGATCTCGAATTATTGTACAGCCGATCGTTTCGTAATCGCTAATAATGAACGTTGAACCATACAATACACGTCGTTCGAATTTCCTCTACTCAAAGATCCGATATATCGAGTATCTCTAAGTCTCGAATGATCTCTGTTTATTTTTTGTTTCTTTTTTCGCCGTATATTATAATAATACGCACACGCGATTTCGACAGTTGATGTCGCGAGGTCGGGAAAAAAATGCAAACAAAAAAAACGCGAATGTATCGTTTAAATTGCGCTTTTGCTGCGCGACGTCCATAAAAAGATAGTCGATAGAACAATAGTGCCGCGCACCGGCGGCGTTCGCATAAAAATCCGGGAGAGGTAGCGGCGGGGGGAAGAGGTGGCGGCATAGGGGGAGGAGAGGCGGGGGCAGGAGTTCAGGATTAAAATTAATTGTTGCGCGGCTTCACAAGGGACCGCCGTAACTAAACAAATTGACGCGGAGATAAAATGCGGCGGTCCGCTTTCAAATAAAATCAACGGACGATTCTTTGATGGAATCGCGATTCGAACGAATCGAGAAGTGCGTCGGTTAATAAAACCCATTGATCCACATTTCACCTCGTGTCGTCGTCGACGTCTACGTGGTCCGCGCCGGTTCGGTAAATTCGCGGAGCAGCGGGGCTAGAATCGCCGGTGAGAGCAGAAAGATACGCAAAACGAAACGAAAAACGAACGAGAACGCGTGCTCTCACTTTGCACACACTTCGTTTGTGCAAAACGGTTCTCACGCATTTCTATTTCCGACTAAGTTGGAAGCGCGTTAAATGATCACGATTACCATTACGGTTTACGTGGTAATCAATCATGACAGGAGACGAAGTAACAATATCCGAGACATTCGACCTCACAATCTCAACGGAGGATTCAAGAAAGAATTATATCCTTATCGCTATCGGATAAAAGTATATTGAGAGGTCAATATTTATACCTTGTACACTAACACTTCGGCTCTTGTCATAACCGATGATCACGCAAGCCCGCGGCTCGCAGTGGTGACCACTCGAATGCGCTCCTAACTACACCGGAAAAAAACATATGAAAACCGTTTTGATATTCGCATAAATATATCGCGGTGCAGATTCTCGAAGACCGTGTTGCGAGAGAGAGAGAGAGAGAGAGAGAGAGAGAGAGAGAGAGAGAGAGAGAGAGAGAGGGAGGGAGAGGGAGAGAAAGACGAGCGTGGTGACAATTGCGCGCGTCGGACGCGACGCGCTCCTCAAGCTGCGCGGCATCTTCGCCGTCGTTCTTTCGTCCGTTCGTTGTGAACGAAACGGCAGACGCACGTTTATCGCGCATTCACGCGCGTCGTCGCTCTTATCGCCGTCGAGAAACGGCGAATCTAGCAGCGGCGACCGCGAGGGAGGACGACGACAATGCAACTGCACCGCCCGCGTTCCGCATCCGATGCACACGAACAGCAAGAACAGCAGCAGCGGCGTATCCGAGTAAGTACGCGCGCTCACGTAAGTATGTAGGTGCACTTCAATCAACCCTCTCTCGCGCCATCGCACCTTCGTCCCTTCTCTAGCCTCTCTCATCTCTCTATCTCTTTCTCTCTATGCATCTACCTTTTAACTGCGGACTTTTTCTACCTTGATCTCTATCTCTCTTTCTCTCTGTCTTTATCGCTCTCCTTCTCTCTATCATTATCCGTCGCACTCTTACGTGTCGCGATAGCTCTGCACCCTTATCTCTCGCTCGGTATCCATACTCCACGCTTTGTCGCCTTTCTCTTTGCGATTCTAGACGCCTTAGCTTCCCTCTCCCTTTCTCTCTCTCTCTCTCTCTCTCTCTCTCTCTCTCTCTCTCTCTCTCTCTCTCTCTCTCTCTCTCTCTCGCTCTCTCTTTTCCTTTACCTCGATCTCGCGCGCGCGGTAACCTTTCGTAGAGCAGTGGGAATTGTTCGTATCGAGGATATATTGTCTAGCGTCTATCTGCTTGCCCGCATGCGGCTGCTTTGTGAATGCACTCTGTGCAATATTGCGTTCGCGTTATGCAATCATATAGGATGGATATCCGGGAGATATTCGCGAATACCTCTTGGATATTGAATGACTGAATATTGCAGAACATTTAGCTACCCGATGGGTATTCGCCTATGCATATTGGATGTTTGTGATATATTAATAGAGATGGATGTGCTCGCAAGAGCTACTTCTTCGATATATTGAAGATTGTAGAAATCTTTTAGACACATTTTCCTGCTTGTATATGAATAAAAATGCCGCCCTCGACGGAACTTTTATGAAAAAAAAACACGCGTAAACAAGAGACCACCATTGGTTCATTTATACCCAACGAAAGGAATTTTACCTCTGCATAAAAGAATATCTATATAATTCTCGCATTAAAAATTCTACGGTGGTATAAAGAAAGTGCCAAGAGAACAACGAGAATTTTCTCGTAATAATCTCCTCCTCGAAGATTTGCTAAAAATTTGCAAACCCATGCACACGTATATACAAGTCGGATCCATTTTCAAGATTGCGTCAAACCTCTAATGGCCGTGCGCGAAGGCGACTGTACACAAAAATATATTTCGACGGGGAGACTATCCGCAAACATTTTCGCAAGACTTTTGTTGTTCGTAAACGGGAAGCCGATAACGAAAAACTATACGAGCAGCGCGCGTCGTGCTGTAATGCTAAAAAAAAAGGAGGCGAACGTCTCGTTACGGAAAAACATTGAAACCTGCGCACAGAGAAACGAGAGAAAGAGGGAAAAAGGAGAGAGACGTGTGTTATATAAAATGTGAATAGATCGATTATTATCCGATAAACGAATAGAAAACGCTCGGATTTCGTAATTTGTCCTTGAGCTTATTATCCGAAGCTGCATTTCGAGCTGCATCGTGTGTGCGCCGATTAGCTGGACCCTCGTCGTATTACCCTCCTTTGAAGGGAGATTTTCCGGTTTTTAAAAGCATATCAAAATCGTGTTTGCCCAGGATCGAAAGTTCACTGGCTCATTGTCGCCGACAATCCCGGAGTCGAGTTGCACTCCTCTCGCGCCATCGCGCTCTCTCTCCCCGCCTCTCCCTCCGCCCAACCCTCTCTCATTCTCTCTCTCTCTCTCTCTCTCTCTCTCTCTCTCTCTCTCTCTCTCTCTCTCTCTCTCTCTTTCTCTCACTTCCAACGTGTATCGTGTCCCAAAGTAATTTAACACGTAAGGGGATGACAACGGGCTCGAAACCGGCGTCCTTCAAGGCCCGCGTAAGTGACGATCGTGTTGCAGCACTGAATTCAGAAAATCGGGACCCTGACGAGTTTTCTCTCGTATTTTTCGATTGCTTTAGGTCGATACAACACTGAAATGAATGAAAGCTCTCGCGTCGTTCTTAAAGACGAAATATTCGTAAATTTGTTGGTTTTTATGATAATCATTAATATACATACGGGTAGATACGCGTTTGATACATGAACAGAACTCTTTCACCTCAAGATAAAAATATCACAGAAGCAATCCCCTACAGGATGATACATCATCTATCGTGTGTGAACCGAATTACCCCGATGAGATGCGGATTGATAAAGAAATAATTGTCGTGTCCACCGCAGAAGGTCGTTTAATTTGCTCGCAACCTCGTCGATCGGCTAATCGAGTTAATTACCGTAGCGCGCGATAACGCGGCGATGACTTTGCGACAGCTGCGACGACACGGAATAGAGAGCACGACTACCGCAGATGACGCCTTGCGAAGAGAGAGAGAGAGAGAGAGAGAGAGAGAGAGAGAGAAAGAGAGAGAGAGAGAGAGAGAGAGAAGAGAGAGAAAACCGAGCGCACGCGGTCAATTTATCGCGGCCCATTATCACCGCCGCGATCGTTCCGTGACCGTTATTACCGTCCCGTAAAGGAGCCGGCCGGATAATTACTTTAATGGAATAATTTTTTGGAAAATCTATCGTTGATGTGTCGCCGCGGGTGTGCACAACGCGCGGACACGACAACGAAGGCCACACCCCGAAAGAACGAGCGTCCGTGATCCACGCGGCTCGTTAACCGCGCATACACAATACGCTCCCTGTAGGAGGACGTACGGCGAACGTAAAAACGAACGAATAAAAATACATCGAGCCCGTCTGTCGTCGCATTATCAAGCCTCGGGGAGCCCAGGGAGATTACAATTTTAAGATCCCGTCGAGATTCACGTTCACGTAGGCCCCGATTAATCTTCGGCTGTCATGGCCTATTTAAACCGCGCGGGCGAGGCATTTTCCGCGAATATACGCAGGAAGAAACTTTATTCGTTAGCGATTCTCTACTCTCTGCTAAAAAGAAAAGATCTCGCGATCATCGCGGCGTTTGGCTCGTTTCAGCTCGCCACAGTGAGAATCTGCATACGGTATGTGTGAAATAACATTTTTATACGTGTATTACATATGATAACGGAAGGGAAGCAATGTCGCGGTACGTTTTGTCATGGTTCACTGGGACAGCGCGAGGGTTAGATTAATATTTATGTCGAGTGCCATAAAATGTATCCGTGTTGGAAAAGAAACTTTCGTACCGCGCATCCCTAATCGTCCCTCACGATCTTGTGTTTTACTTCTCCGCGACATACTTTTTGCGGAAAAGCTGTAACCTTCCGGAAGATTTATGCCGCATTCCTCGGAGATGGGAATCTCTTCATAAATTCAAAAATCGAGAAAAATTTTTTGTACCAAGTCCGACGATAGACTCGAAGAAATCGACATAATACGCGAGTCGCGCGATTCGCTGATCATCCGC